TCTCTCTCTCTCTCTCTCTCTCTCTCTCTCTCTCTCTCTCTCTCTCTCTCTCTCTCTCTCTCTTAGATTCTTACTCTCAGTTTCAAACTCTGTTATCTTCATCCTACAACTACAAGCACGCGACAGTTTTCTCCATGGTCCACATACAATATTCTCCATACAAAGTTGTGTGCACTCGGCTATAGCGCAGTCTTACTCGATCTGTTGCTTTGATGATAATCAAACCCTTTTTATACCTTCAACTTGTTTAAGTCGCAATTCAGATCAATGCTAAATATTATACAGTCGTGACGAATTGTCAAATATATTAAAACCAACTTCCAACCTCTTCATTCTTTATCTTCTTTTTTTTTTTACGTTCCCCTACTAGATCTCTGGGGTAGTCGAGTTGTCGACGCGGCTGGTCTTCAACCGGCAGCCCAACTTATACGGATAGGCCTCTAATATAATTATATAACAGCCTATTATGTGACCGTTTTTTATACTGCATCCAAATCTGTGCCGACATGGTATGCGGAAAGGTGTGAATCTGTCAAGATTTTATGTTATGGCTATCAACAATATTTCACTCCAAAGATGTCCTATGATCGTGTTCATCTTTCTCAAGTTGTCTAAGTTTTGCAGTTTCTCAGTGCATCCGCCTGCACCTTTCTTTGCTCTATCCAACGCGCGCCTCTCTGGGTTATTATTTGCAATCGATTTTCTTCACGGGTCTCGCAGCGCACACGCATTAGCAGATCTTGGGTTACATCGGGCCAGCTGAGTGTTCGCGAGACAACCACGTAACGATGCTTTTAAGAGGCTGCGCATCCTGTTGACAGAAGATAGCTCTTGTTGTTGACTGTGCACTGTGGCAAGGAGATTAAAAGAGATTATATATTGGTCTTAACTCCTTGATCTGTGGACATTCTATCGTCAGAATCATAGCGGCCATCACGTATTTGTGTATGTGGTTAGATTATACAGAGAAGACATCAGTTTTGATTCGTCGCCTGGGAAGGGTTTTTTCCCGTGACATTTGTTTTGTTGTTGTTTAATTTCTTTAAAAGTTAATCGAATGCTAGGTAGATATACATACATGTATATTTCCGCCTGTCTGATGCGATGTTTAATTCTTTCTTTCTTTTTTTGTTGTAATGTAGTCAAATTTTCTCTTTTTTCTCGTTTTTTCCCATCCCGCACAACAACAGTTTAAATTCTGCGCATCCAGTTTATAAGCATAAAGTTCATTGTTATTCTTAGCTTGGTTCCATAAGTTCACTTATTGTATTGTCCCTTTCAAATCAGAAACAGCTAGCGACAGCATGGGCTAATGAGGGGACGACTCATGGATCTGTGTTTGCAAACCAGTGTTCAGCCAGCACCCCATTACATTTGTATTATAATTTGTTTTTCCTGAGCGACTCAATTAGGCCCTATCTATATCTATATATA